TTTCTTACACGCCCCCTCATTTGGCGATTCCGGTTCATCATATGTCTTAAACGCGCTGGCGGTTCCGAGTCATCATATGTCTTAAACATGCCCCATCATTTGGCGATTCCGACTCATCCTTTATCTTAAGCCCGGCCCCTCATTTGGCGATTCTCGTATATCTTAAACATGTGCCCTGATCTGGCGAGTCCAGTTCATCATATAAAAATACATAAATACATAAACAAACCAACAAACAAGTAAATAAAACAATAGATAAACAAACAAACAAACAAGTAAGTAAGTAAATAAACAAACAAATAAATATATAGACACATAAATAAATACATAAATAGATACATAAATAAAGAAAGAAAGAAACAAACAAACAAGTAAATAAATACCTAAGCAAACAAACAAACATAAATACAAACATACATATATATATATATATATATTAATCATGCTCTCTCATATATCTTAAACACGCCCCCTCATTACATTTCTGACGTGGTTCCGGAATCGGCAGTGCAGTTTTGTCAATCCAACATCGGGGAGAAATCCTTCTGGCCGTGCTATTTGTGCTTCCGGAATCCCGCCAGTGCAATTTTGTCAATCCAACATCGGGGAGAAATCCGTCTGGCCGTGCTATGTGTCAAGCTATGGTTGCTTCCTCAAGGCCAGGCCAAGCACAAATCAAGAAACAACGAATAGCTGCCTTGAGTACATGGTCAGCGCGCTCTCATCAAGGCTGGCGGTACTGGTCTCGCCTCTTAGCTTCCCCCCTCGTTTTCAGTAAGGGGTACAACCTTAAACCCTAAACCCTACACCCCAAACCCTAAACCCTAAACCCCAAACTTAACGAAAATGGCCGAAAAAACAGGCAAACTCTAAGCCTGCAACGTTTGCTGGAAGCACCCCTGCATGCTGGTGCTTCGGAGGGAACGAGAGACTCAGGCATACGATAGAATCCTTTAACACGAGTACTGGGCATATGTAGGGGCATGTAAGGTGCTTAATGCCCTCATTCATCACCTGCTAATCGCCTTTTCCCGGTGAGGTTGGGGGCCCATGCTTTGAAGCAAGCTTGCCCGGCTTAAAGACGCGGGGGCAGCCCTCCCATTGGCAAACACCATGCTCACATCATGGGTTTCGTGGGGACTCGTATGCTTCGAAGCAAGCTTGCCCGGCAAAAAAAAGACGAGGGGTTGGGGGGGGGGGGCGGGTTTGCAAACACAATGCTCGCATCATGGGTTTGGCAGGGACTTGTATGTTTGAAGCAAGCTTGGCCCGGCTTGAAGGCGGGGGGGTTGGGGGGGCTCAGCCCCCTGCATTTGCAAACACAGTGCTCGCATCATGGGATTGGAAGAGACTCGAATACTTCGAAGCAAGCTTGCCCGGTTTTATTCGAAACGGGGCGAGTTTGGGGGGGGCGCAGCCCCCTTATCTGCGAACACGATGCTCGCATCATGGGATTGGAAGGGACTCGTACGCTTTGCAGCAAGCTTGCCCGGCTTCAAACCCCAAACCCTCAACCCTGAACCCTAAACCTAAATAAAACCCTCAAACCTAAACCTGGCAGGGCAGGGCGAGGAGGAGGCAGCCCTACTACCAGCAGTTTGTCTTTCCTGCCTTCCTGTATTTTGTCTTTAGTTCTTTCTTGTCTTTATTTATTTCTCTCTTTCTTTGTTTCTTTCTTTCGTTCGTCCTTTCTTTATGTCGCTGTTGTCTTCCTTTTCTTGTCTTTTGCTTTGTATTTGGCTTCTTCAGAAAATTAGTTATTTATTTATAGTTGTTTAAAGCGTGCTGAGTCTCATTCTTGTCGTTCTTGTTTCTACCTTCATTTTTCGCTTGCTTCTTTGCTTCCTTTGTTCCTTCCTTTCTTCCTTCCCTTCCTTCCTTCCTTCCTTCCTTCCTTCCTTCCTTGCTTCCCCCCTTTCCTCCTTCCTTCCTTCCTTCCTTCCTTGCTTCCCCCCTTTCCTCGTTCCTTTCTTCCTTCCTTGCTTCCTTCCTTCTTGTCTTCCTTCATTCCTTCCTTCCTGCCTTCCTTCCTTTTGCCTTGTATTTTGCTTACAAATGAAGAAGAATATTTTTTTAGATCCCTTAAATAGTTTTGCTGATTCCTTAATAGCTCCCAAAGCATCTCGGATTTTGGGTTCCCGTTCAGGTTCTAAGCGGGGGTGAGCGTTCACGGAGGGTACGCGCGGGGTACGCACGGAGTACGGGCAGGGTACGGGCAGGACGGCGGGGTTACGGAAGGTACGGGCGAGGTATGGGCGGGGTGGCCGGGCTACCGAGGATGAGCGTTCACGGAGCGTACCCCACCGACGCGCGGGGTACGCACGGATACGGACGGGGTACGCCCACATACCCCGGCTGTTTGAGACACTGCTTGCCAGGTAGACCCCAAGACCCAGCATCATGAGCGTCCGCCGGCCTTGCCTCCAAAATGCGCTACCCCGTCCTCCAGCGCATTTTGAAAGCTGCTTGCTAGAAAGCCACCAGGAAGGCCCAAGTGAGCGTCCGCCGACTTCTTCCTATGAGGTTTCGGTCGTCATCGTCGTCGTCGATCCTCGTCTTTGTTTTCGTACCGTTGTTTTCGTCTTCGAGACAACAGGGTGGCGAAGAAAAGTACACTTCAGCGCAGAGAGTCTCTGTAATATCACTAGGACGGCGATGATGATACTAGAAGGTATGCCTTAGGATTATTATTTCTCACTTCTGACGAGAACAGGCTCAACTGTTGTCTCGAAGACGAAAACAACGGTACGAATTGAAAACAAAGACGAGGATCGACGACGACGATGACGACCGAAACCTCATAGGAAGAAGTCGGCGGACGATCACTTGGGCCTTCCTGGTGGCTTCCTAGCAAGCAGCTTTCAAAATGCGCTGAAGGACGGGGTAGCGCATTTTGGAGGCAAGGTTGGCGAACGCTCATGATGCTAGGTCTTGGGGTCTACCTGGCAAGCAGTGTCTCAAACAGTCGGGGTATGTGGGAGGTCGACAATATCGCATCGAGTCCTTTTGTTAGCCCCTTAAACAGTTGTTGTTTGACCCCTGTCCCTTCAGGAACAGGGTCCACCCGGAAGGTCAAATTTGGAAAACTGCCTCCGACGAAGCACAGTCATACACACGAAACGATGCACTCTGAAGCTTTGATTCCTGAACCCTGCACATGCCCGTCGATCCGAGGTTCAACTTCGTGCCGGAAGACAACCATGCACGGACGAAACCCTGAAGGCCAGAGATGACAGATGAGAATCCTTTTTGGGCTAAGCTTCGGCTATCAACTCCTGCGGTCTCAGAGAAAGGAACACGACATCGTGATGAATCGCCAGCCACCCCCTCACCCGCCCCGAAAGAAAGTGGCATAAAGTGGCATGACTGCGGTGATGCTGATCTGCTTTGTATCTCAGGCTCCAGCAGGCATGGACGGAGCAGCAAGGAACAGGGGCATCAGCCGACCGAAAGCATGTAGCAGCCTTGCAGGGTCAGCTGCGGGGGCGCTGCAGGCCACAAAAATGGTGAACGCTTTAGCGTCTTCGCGGCTGTAGCCCCTTTCACGGAGCGTCCGTCTAAGTAAAACTTGTTTTTCTATGCAGGTCTGCTGATACAACAGGAGATGACGTCGACAACTTCGATTGCAACGCTTCGCGAGAGGTTATGCGAGAGCTTCGCCTGATGCAGTCTCTCCATGGCTTCCTTCACGATGGAGTCCTCCTTGCCTGAGAGGGACCAGGTGACACTTCGCCGGGCAATGCACGTAAGAGAGGCATCACTGACATGCATTCCCACCGGACTGAGAGGCCAGCTTTGGCCCAGCTTGGCTTCGGACTGAAGAGGTTCCATCACGCGCAGAAACTTGTGGGATAAACATGTAGGCCTCCAAGATATCCAGTGCACTGACGAAGATGGCATCCTGGTCACAGAACGCATAACTGCATAACTACGCTGCAAGCGAGTTCGGGCGCTCGGTTTGCGCCTCCGAGGCCTCCTCGCCAAGCCGGCCGCAGGCCTTCAGCGGAGCTCCAGCCTTCGCGAGCCTGACCAGGGCTTGTCCTCGGCAAAGCGAAAGCGGGAAAGCCAAAGGGCAAGGCATAAAGTGCGGTTTTATCTGAGAATTTTGACGAAGCGACGGAAGAAAACCTTCCCAAGAAGAACCTGAGCGCATTTTCGGTGAGCTCAGAGCAGCAAAAGCCAAAAGGAAGGCCTGGCCCTCGGAACAAGCTTGGTTCTCCGGGGCCGCCTCATTGAAAGGAAAACGCAAGCTCGGGAGCGAGGCTTTCGAAAGACTGGGAGCGGTGCCGTGCTGTCCAAAGCGCTCAAAGCTTTCTGAAGTTGCTGGACTACCTCAAGTCTTTCAGATTTCCACGACACATAAAACCTGCATCGGATCACGTGTTGCAGGTTTGCACAACGAGCATTCGACCACACCCCACCCGACCTTCAAAATTCTCAAAACTGAGTTCAGCCCGGCCTGCTGCAACGCAATCTCTTCCGTCGGGGCAGCCGCTGACAGACCGCTGAGAAGGCCAGGATCCTGTCGAAAGTAGTCAGTGGCAGTAGCACTAGAGGGAGCAGCAGCAGCAGGAGCAGGAGCAGGAGCAGCAGGGGGAGCAGGAGGGTAGTCGTTATCGTCGTCGTCGTGGTAGTGGTAGTGGTAGTGGTGGTAGTGGTAGTAGTTGTAGTAGCAGTAGGAGTAGGAGTACGCCCACTGCCGCGTGCATATCTGGCCTGGGGATTTCGCGCGCTTCTTCCACTGCATTTTTTTCTGTACATACCGTGCTAAAGCTCATGTTCCCTTGGGAATGGAGGGGGAGGAAGTCAAAATCTAATAATGTCTGCTCATCTAGTCTATTCCTTCTGTGCGATCACCAGAGCATCCAGGCCCAAACCCTAATAACGTCCATTGCCAGTTGCGTGCTGTCACCAAAGCATCCAGGCCCAAACCCTGATAACGTCCATTCTACTTGCATGCGATCACCATATCATCCATACCCAAACCCTGTTGGCCTGCTATTTCCATTCCTATTTGCATGAAACCGTGATAACGGCCGTTCCCAATTGCGTGTGATCACCAAAGCATCCATGCCCAAATCCTAATAACATTCATTCCTAATTGCGTTCGGTCACCAGAGCATCCATACCCAAACTCCATTCTTAATTGCGTTCGATCACCAGAGCATCCAGGCCCAAACCCTAATAATGAACCTTAATTGAGTACGATCACCAGCATCCATGCCCAAACCCTGATAAATCTGAAAGTCCACTCCTGACGTGCGTTCGCTAGAGCACCCATGTCCAAACTTCAATAACATCAAACCCATGCCCAACATCGTAGCAGCAGCAGCAGGAGGAGTAGTAGTAGTAGCAGTAGTAGTAGTAGTAGTAGTAGTAGTAGTAGTAGTAGTGGTAGTGGTTGTTGTTGTCGTTGTTGTTGTGGAAGAGAAGCGGTTGCTGCTGTTGTCGTTGTCATGGTGGTGGTGCTGGTGCTGGTAGGGGGGTCGTAGTTGAGTGAGGGTTCGTTGGGTTTGGTATTGCTATTTGATGTTCCCGCCTGATGTCCAAATGTCGAAAACATCAAGCTTGAATTATGCTGCGGCAAACTGTGGGAGGCTCACAAGTTTGAGGCCTGGCGGGCGTTCGGGTTTAGGAATGTGGCCTCGCAGCCAGTCAGTCGGTCTTTCCGAAGCAAAACCCACTGCATTTTGCGAAACCGAAACGCTACCCTCTCTGCTACGCGCTACGTGCCACCACTCACACAAATGTGACGCTAAACATGCTGCGTGTGCGTGTGGTTCTACCTGCTAGTAAATACCAACATTAGTGGCCCAGTGGCCCGCCTTCTTGGTCGGAGGTCGGAGGCTAAAAGTCACAACTCATTTACACCAACGGTAGCGCGGTAGCGCGTGACAGCGCATGTGCTGGCCCCAAGGAAACTTCCGAGCCGCCTGACACCGGCCTGCGGTGTCGGTAGATGGAACCGAGGGAACAGGTCAGCTCTACATGAAAGGCAGCTCAACAAAATCAAAAACTTCCGTTGGGCCGCACTCATGCTACGCTGAATGTGCTGTGTGGGTCTGTGTGGAGGTGTGTGGGTGTGGGTGTGCATGTATCGTAGGTCATGTGTTATCTACATAGGATATAAACAATATAGACTACATGTGTCATCGTACTATATGCTACATAATGCACTTGCATATATACCCAAACATGACAACGTGAGCTTTCAGTCTTCGTTCAGCATTAGTCAACATGACCAAAATTTGCTAAACTCGTTATCGATAAGTCAATCTGGTGCAGGTCTGCTATGTAAAAACTATTTGGTGGATTATTGGCACAGCTACAACTTCAGCAAACGCTTTGTATTTGACTAAACACACTGACCTTTAGATTAATGCTCATATCAGGATCTGGGATAAGCCCTCGGTGGTCAAACAGACTCTTACAATAACACCTGCCTTGTCCAGGAAATGGCAGTCGGTCGAACGAGTATACGAAGCAGCCTTCAAGCAAGTGCAACAGCTGCATGGGCCAGTGTTCACCCATCAACTCGCCTGAGGCACTGCCATGCGCAACTGCAATCTGCAGAGCCTAACACAGTTCAGCCCAATACCCATCAGCAGAGTCGACATCCCACTCTAGATTCTGGGCTGCAAGCCAGATCTGCAACTTTGCCGCTTCAAGCTTGTCCTGATCGACACACTTATCAGGGCATCACTACAGTCTCGACATGATGTTGTAGATCCTTCGTGGCGTTGAAAAGCTCGATGCCTTGCTTCGCGTGCGTCATTGCCTCGCACGAGTTTCAGGAGCTGTAGCTGTGGAGACCAGAGCCTTTTACGCCGACCTTCGTGAAGCGGCCAGTGCTCGCGTAGAGCCGGCCCAACCTAGAAGACAAAAGCTTGGACCGGCTATGGAGGCTATGGCCATGACGAGCTGATCCTTGGGGTCAGACTTGCTGTATGCTCGACCTAGAAGAGCACGAACCTGTCGAAGCCAACTGTATGCAGCCGAACTCAGCCGAAGTTTAGGCGCGGCCCAGCTCATGCAGACATTCGTACGCTTAGCGACCCCGACTTCCACAAGAGGAAATTGCCTTTGTTTAGAACCCTGATGCTGCGAGCAATGCTGCACATCTGACACCATCCACGAATGCCAGAGAGCTCCAGAAGCGATGTGCTAACTGGTAAGGTTTCCACCTCAATCCTTGAAGCTGAGATGCAAAACAAGCACGAAGCTAACGACGTGTTCGCCAACACTTCCTACGACGGTGCAGTGGCCCCTTTTTGGTGGAAGCGCAGACTGCGCCCGGCCGGGCACACCGCCCGAAAACCCGGTGCCCGGCGTGCGCACTTCAGCGCCCGCCCGGCGCACCCATGCCCCACCAGGAAGCGGCACGTCGGGTCATGGCCTCCTCGGGACAGTCGTCGCCTGCCGCCGACGCCAGTGGGCCCCCGACTTCTACAGGGAGGCTAGCATCGGTGACGATTCCAGGGCTAGGCGCGATGGCTGGACGCGCGTGTGCACCGCACCGGCGAGGCGGCCGCGGACATCGACTTCGCCTGCCACGCCGCGCCTGAGAGGCTTCTGAGCCGATATCTATCGGTCGACCGCCCGCGCTTGTTCCTAGTCACACAAGTGTGCTACACAACAAAAAGATTTGAAAAAAGGAACACGCTACAGGAGCTTGGAAGCAAGCGCGTATGCCCAGCGAGCTATCGGCATCAACCCCTGCCTGCAGCTGGAGCTCCGATGCCACCTGGCAGCGGTCGTCTCTGCTGGGCCCGAAAAGCGATTGGGGGACAAACGCCTCGTAGGGCACGACAGCCAGCTGGTGCAGAGAACGGAGGCAGAGGCTCACGGTGGACTGTCAAGCACTGGCACTCTTATGCAGAAAGGACGAGGGCAACTGCGACAGCCGACAGCTCTCCTGGAGCCATCGCTCACATTGCGTAGCTGGCGGCTGCATAGATTCGTTCATGCTCTTCACCTGGGCCTGAGCGGTGAGGACGGCGACTCCGACTCGTTTTGTTTGACAGCGTGCAGCCCTCCACCTCCAGGTAGCTGCGGGTCTCCGGATCCAGTTCCTGCCCAGGTGCCTGTCAGACTCAAAGGCACTCTCTGCCGAATGTCTTGCTGTGGTGTCGAGAGCTCTCGGGAGCATGCAATGCTCGGGAGCACCAAAGTAGCAAGCTCATGCAGAAGATCCGCCTGCATGCAAGAGAGATGAATTATGTTGACCCACACAACACACAGAGGTCATCCCTACATCAGCCCTCCAATTTCAGCTTCTCCGGAGTCGATTCGAACGCGAGCACAAACCGCAAAAGATTGCAAGCCTATGCAATGCAACATCCAGTTTCTCACTCGTGCATGCGCCTGCTCGACTCTCCGATCCAATACTTTGTCAAGAATGACTTCTGACTGCTTGGCTGCTAGTCCCTGCACATGAGTGCTCCCTCGCACCTTCCACTTGCAGATGGAACCCAGCAGCGAGGATCTGTCACAGTCGTGATGCAGTGTCGCGATGTGTCGCGATGCTCAGATTCTGGAGCTGTGATACTACCAAACAAGCTGGTGGCGCTCGTAAGGCCCTGCACGCTGCGACTGTCCGGCGCGTGGCTTTACCACAAGATCCTGCCCAAACACCGGCAGAGCAGCATGGCTGGGAATTCTTGTGAAAGCGACACTAGCCACAGCCTCCGCTGCATCCAGCTCTTTCATCGCAGATCCCAGCATGCCTGGCAAAGACGTGATGTTCGAATTTCCTATTGAAGTGCTGCACCGGACAATCTCGAAAACACAGCCAGCAATCTGTGCTTGCAGGTATCATCTCATGACGAGATGCTCGCAGTTCAACAGTTCAACATCTAGCTGCAGACTCCCCGTCAGCTTTGTCCGGCGTGCAGCGCGCACACCATGTATGGGCTGGCCAGAATGCCAGGTGACACGGAGCAACAGCTTGCGGCTGCTACTGCTCAGAGCTCATGGCAGGGACGTGGGCATCATCCTCTGTTGTCCTTTCTGGGTGGCAGTTCTGGTTACAACCTCCCGACGTGTGCCATGCGATGCAGGAAAGGCGCGGAGCTTGGGAGAGGCTTTCCACACGCGAGTGCATGTTGGACGTAAACCTGGTCACAGCCCTGTTTTTGAACAAGCTTTCGGAACCAAGAGGCGCTGTGAGCCTGCCCGAGTCTTTCTGCAGAGTGCGACGGATACCACACCTCCTGCGCAAGCTTTGGCAAGCACTACCCTGACCAGTCGGGGGCAGATCGGCAATCCGGTCCCCTGCACCGCGAAGCTCCATGAGGTAGAGAAATCCATCGACTTGCTGTTGCAAGTTGGATGTGCCTGAGCTCGGCTTTCTTTTGCATGAAACCCCTGCCGTTCTGCATTGTGAGGTCCGAGCCGGTTGTTATGTGCTGCTCTGTCACCATGCTTGCAAGAATGCTGCCTCGGGATGACATGTCTCTGTCGAGTGACAGCGATGGGGAACCGAGGGATGCACTTCCTGCAGGTGGCAAAGCCTGAGCAATGAAACCACAGGGGAGACATGGGGAGACTCAGCTACAAAGGCGAAATATCTGGCCTTCTGCAGCACTTTCCAAAGCAAGATCAACATCTGTGCCGGCAGCCTTTCAAGGCGAGAACCATGAACCACTCTAGAATCTCTAGAAATCTAGGAATCACGGTCGTCGCTTCTGCCGTCTGGGCACATCTCCCGCCAGCTCGAGCGCGCACGCTTCACCTGTAAAGAGACCCAGAAACAGCGGCTTTGAGCTGTGAAACCAGCTCTGCCTTGAGCCTGACGAGCAAGATCATGAGCAAGCGATGCCACTTCTCACGAGGAAAAACCCTTGGAAATGCCACAGGCGCGCTGCAAGCTCGAAATGGCTTGTCAAGGATCAAATCGTGCGCATCCCAGGCTAAGCCGCCGACTCCGTTTTTAGCATCTTGTTCGCAGACAGCATTGCAATCAGATCTGACCTGAATTGGAATTGGAACTCTAGGAAGTGCTATCACTCTTTGATTCTTAGCGACTGCAATAGCACATTGTCATGTGGGCATCCGAACCACTTGCACAACTCCGTTAACGATCGTTTGCTCAGCTCAGCAACCGCTCCCACCGATCACTTGACAAAAAATGTTGGCAAACCTTTACGGTTTAGGATACAGGCCTTTAGGCTGTGGGTTTCCGAATTTGTTGGTAGGTTTAATGCGACTTGTCACTCTTTACGTGGGATGGCACCTCTGCGTTTCCACAATCAAGGTGCAGGGCTGCAACCTTTGCACCGTCGGCGTCGGTTTCGTTTTCCCACCCGAGGTATTTCCTTTCATTAAGAGGCTCTCTCTGTGGACTCTGAACAAGCCCCTGGAAGTTTATGCATAGGCCGCGGGTTTAGAGGCGTTATGGGGCTCAAGCCTTCTGGTTCAAGCTTTAGGGTAGGATCAGGGCGCCGTTAGGGTGTTGAGCTCAGGGGTTAGAGCGTTTAAGGTTCCAAAGCTTCGGGCTTAGTTTGCAGGTTTTTAGCTAAGGGGCTGAGAGCTTACAAGGTTCAGGGTTCAAAGCTTTTGGGCACTGCATAAATGCTCACCAGACCCCTGGTGCCCTCGGTGCTCGGCAGCTGGTCTGCCATGGATGCGGGTACCTGCGGGGTGACCCTGTTAGAGCAAAAAGTTGCAGAAAACCGCGCAGCTCGAGGGCACCATGACTTCACCAGGCCCAAGCCTCCGTGCTCTCACAGAGTGGTCACCCATGGCTTGACTTGGCCATATCTGGGGAAACGGCTTGGGCGTCTGCTGCAAGCGCTTGGTGTAGATCTAGCCGCAAACAGTTCAAAGCACGGAAAGCAGTGTACCAGTGCGTGCTCGATGCCACGGCGACCGTCAAGAATCTGAACGCTAGTCTCCACACCAGGTTTTTGCCCGGCCTGTCCAGACCTGATGCCTGCAGCAACGGGTGCTTTCGCCAAGTCAAACCTCTGTCACCGTCTCATCGACGAGCCTTCATAACTGTTCGAGAACGAGCCAGAACTTGAAGCCTGACGGGGGCACCAAGTCGAAAGGTCACCCCCCATCAGCTCGGCCCAGGCACCTGTGCCTCCTTCGAGTCTTGCCTCGGCGAACAAACGGTGTGGCAGAAACGAGCTGCAAAGGATCATGCAGAAATAAGGGCTCTGCATTAATCACTGCCTGATGCTCAAGTTTGTCGCCGAGCCATGATGGCACGTTTAGGATCTCGTGACGAGGCCGGGATAGTCTGATGAATGCACAGCCTTGCTAGATCGCGGATGACCGTGGATTATGCTGGTTTGCCAGGTGGCTGCGGAATGTGCAGAGACTCTCAGGCATGCTCACGTGTGACAGTTGACATAACGAAGGCAGGATGGCAAAGGCCACCGAGCCCGAAGGAGTGCCTCTGGCGCAGCCTTGCCAAGCCTGCGAAGTGATAGAAATGTACCGTCACATACCGTCACCATCTACATCTCGCAACTCTGAGAGAGCCACAGAGATGTGCATTGATGGCCTTGGCGTGGATCCTCTCCTGCGACGGATCCCAAGATAGACTTCTGCTTGCCTGGTTGCCCCGAGTATGCGTCCCCAGGGCACGCCTCCAACTGCCGCACACTGCGGCCGAATCTGCTTTCCAGATTGCTCGGGAGCACGCTGCCGCAGTACCTGGAACTGCACATACCACTGCAGGCCTTTCGTGAAACAGCAGAAATCATGAACAAAGTCACAGCTTCTGCAGTTGGTGTGCACCCGACGGGTGCTTGTTGCTTGTCACTGGCCCTAATTCGTGCTTGCTTGCTGTGGTTTCCCTTCATCGTACTCGCTTGATTTTTCAGCCCGGGTGTTGCACGCAGCTCTTCTGACCCTCTGCGCCCGCTGTCGCAGGTCGCATCATAGAAGCATCTGCGCACCCCAGCAAGTCATGAGTAAGAAAAGTGGCCGGGAGCACTCTGCCACATGTTGCCGGCTTCTCTGCAGGTGTCGCCTGGGTATTTCCAGGTTCACTCTGAATCGTTGCCCAATCAGTGGCTGAACTGGGCTCATGGCAATGCGCTCAGGGTTCTGGACAGATCCAGATCCACATCGCCGTGCTCATCCTGACGAGAGTGAGACGCACTGAGAAATCCGAGCCTCTCGCATCTCTCCTCTGCCAGGAAGGTGTCTGCGAGAAACTCGAAGGCCGAAGCCAAGAGCAGCTGAAACCTCGCTCACCCCAAGTCGCAGACAGCAGCCTACGCCAGCTACGCCTTTCAGCGCCTGCATGGCAGCGGCGGCGGTGCAGAGCCATCCTCCGCTTCAAGCCCAATAGTTGCATGGAAGCGAAACACGGCGGTAGCACGTGGTATCCTCTGCACACAGCGTCGCGGATCTCAAAGCCCGGACCTGCGTCGGCGTGCGAGCAACGCACTGGCAAGCGATGCGGACAAGTCGATGAGATGCACGCCGATCGCAACATCATTTGGCGAACACGAATAGGATGGCAACAGCTTTTTGCTGTCCACCTTCGGGGCTGTTGACAGGAAAACACTCGATAGCAATTGCATGTGGTTTCCATTTCTGGCCTGGCGCCGGACGGAACCTGAGCTCTTCAGCACATCTCAACACCCCACGGACTTTCTGACGCTGCCCCTACTTTTCATCATGTTTTTCGGTGTTGTCACGCAGAACTGGGGTCATCACATGCTTCAGCTCCGTCCGCAGTCGAGCAGTATCTGCCGTCATTGGCGACTGCGCAAGCCTCACCTGAGGTCACATCCCTCTTCCATCCTTCCATCATCACGCCCTGGGGCTCCCGTCTCTCGGTGTGTCCTCTGAGATCTGCACTGCTGCATGGTAGCTGAGCAACGCCTTCGTGACCTTTGGAGCACCACATGAACGAATGCAGTTCAGAAAGGGCGGAGGCACACCAGCACTGCTCGTAAACGATGAGAACTTGGAGATAAGTCGGTTTTCGCATCCTCCCAGCAGCGAGCAGACTTGATGCGCTGAACTACCCACCCAGCGGGGTCCTCTGCAGCCTTCTGCTGCAACGGAGCGCTTTGAGCCTGCGACCCAAGTTGACATGCCTCACTCGCATGTATAAAACCGTCCACTCCCAGAGCCGTGCCAGGGCAGCCAGGGCAGCCAGGGCGGCCGGTGGCTCCAGACACTCTGAGCCTCGGCCCATCGAGGGCTTAGAACAACTTAGAACCGTTCAAGGCGCACCACTTGCATGCCGAGCTCTAGTTTTCAACGTGACGTGCAAGCTGACGCCACAGTCTACTTCAAGCCGAAGCCTTGCGTCTCTGTCACGGCCTCAGATGCCAAGCAGGAGAGAATCATGCTACTACACCGGTGGTGTGCTGATGTTGTTCGTACATGTTGCACAGACCCTGCCGCTCCTGCACAAGCCGCTCTCGAAGTACATTCGGAGACGAATACAAGGGCAGCAACAGCGTGTGAAAGCCTCGGATGCCAGGTTGCTTGCCGCACAAGCACACAGCTGCGAACAAACACAAGATTGGGTAGAAATTTCACTCCAAGCTTCAAGTGTACGCTGTCGGCAACCTGACAGTAGACAAGTCAACGAACCTCGAAGAGCATCTGGCACTATGACGTTGCAAACTCCACCGCTCACGCCCACCTCTCGTCTCCAGTCCCGTTCTTCTGGATCTGCAACTTCAGATCAGACCAGCCCTTCGCGGGCATCCTGGGGGTGCTCTGCCAGCCATCTAACTAGGCGTGGCCCCATGGGGGCTGTGTTGCTGCGTCAAGTCCTCGAGCTCGCAGATACGAAGACAGCAAAATTGTCTAGCTCATCTGCGCTGAAACCCTCGAGAATGTCCTCGGGGCCAGCTTTGGCAACTTTAGTCATAGCTTCAGGGGGGTGATTTCAAGCATAATATTCGTAGGCCGCCAACCAGCCTCCTGCTCAAAACCACACAAAGCTTTGCTGAGAGTTGAGTCTTCAAACACATGCCCAAAACACAGGACAGCTGGTGTATCGACGGGGCATCGGTAACCCGAATGTAATGATGATAAACCAATAATGACGATGCCTGTAGGCTGCGAATTCGGCCACATTTTGGGCGGATTGCTTCCCTAATTTCAGGTCATTTCCTGTGTGTTTTCACCCTCGTGCACGATTTGCGTTGTTTGTTAAGTCCAGTTTTGTTGTTGAGTTCTGCCTCATTTTGGGCGGATTACTTCCCTACTTTCAAGTCATTTCCTGTGTATTGTCACCCTCGTGCACAATTTGTGTTGCTTTTTCTGTGTGTTTTCACCCTCGTGCACAATGTGATTTGCTTCAGGTCCAGTTTTATTTTGGGATACCCCGAGACTTCAGCCAGCGCTCAGCAAAGTAGTTCGACCTACAAACGTGAACAAGAAGCTTGACCTGTCACTAGCCCAATGTGTGCATGTAACCCCGGCTCTGATAACCCGTGATATTGGCTAGAATCCGGAAAGGGTCATAAAGGCTGTCCGAGGATCCCAGAAAGCTGCAAGGTAGGCTTCCTCGTGGGGCTTCCATCCCAGCGTGATGGCCCCTTCTCTCACGGCCGACACGTTCACGGCCTGTTCGATGCCGCAGAGGAGGCGCTCTAGCTGCTCTAGGCCAACATGCTGCCGAATCATCTGCGACAGACCTGCGACTTCGCAGAAGCCAGCACAAAATGCCTTCTGCTGCTCCTCACATCGAACGTTGAAGAACCAGTGCACATAATCGCGCACGTACCCCGTCCGCAGCTCCTTTGTCATGTTCCTCAGCTTTCGAGTGTCGGGCCAATTTAACACAAAGAGCTCGTCGATGTCTTCACCTTCGTACTCGACGAGGTGCTCCAAACTTCGTGCGATCGCCGAGTCGACGGTCGCCAAGTCCACCAACGAAAAGGGCCTCGCGTAGGAGGAGCCCATGGCCTGCAGTAAGAGATTGTACAATGCCACGGGGTAGACCGAGGGCAAGAAACAGTCGTTGGCGATTGCATGTCCGAGTAAAGCGCCAGTGGCCCGGTAGGCTGCGCAAGCGTCGCAAGCTTCATGCGATTGCATGTTGAAGTCGTTGTTGAAGTGGTTGAACCAATGCGTTCGGTTCTCCTCGTTGTACAGCCACGCCTGAAACGGATGAAGTTGCCGCAGGGCGCACGCGAAAGCCAGGCGAATGAATTCCTTGTTGACTCCAGGACCACTGGCTGGCTCACCCACAAAGCTCACTTGAAAGAGCTGCCCGATGTGATGAAATATGTTTGTCTTCTCATCGCGCACCCGCGCCAAGTTCTGTGGCCGAACTTTTTTCTCCTCACCACTCTTGAGCTTAACTGCCCACCTGACAGCTGAAGCATCAAATGACTTTAAAGTGCCAAGATGGCCGTTGAGTTGAGGCTGTGCACCGAGGCCCTCCAAGCGCACCTCGCAACCTTCGAAGAATTCAGTTCCCAAAGCTGCTACCACGCCGGCAAGCAGCTCCGTTGCTGGCTCACGCTTGACCTTCAGCAGTCGGAGCGTCTTCACAGGTCGCGCGCTTGTGGTGGCGCTTCGAACGTCGAAGATGGCACACTGGCGTCGGAAAGTTTCGGGCACCAGGCAGGCGTGCGTGAGAAAGCAGGTGAACCGAGCGTTGATCTTGAAAGGATGCGTGAGAAGAACGTCGCTACACTCCTCCTCTTGCGAGTCCAGTGTTTGGTGCCATCTGTGCCAATCTGACAGGGCACTGCACTTGTCAATACCTTGAAGCACGAAGCTTGAAGCTTCAGACATCCTCGCACCCTCCGAATAGATTTCACCCAGCCGATGCTCTGCAAGAGGAAGCCTGTTGGCAGCCTCTAAAATCCGCAAGAATCCAATGGTGTGCCAGAAACCAGTCCCACCAGCTATGTTCTTAATGTCCTGATCCCGCAAGAGCCGCAATGTGTGCGTGTGCTTCTGAAGAACGGTTTTGTCTTGGGGAAACTCAACGAATTGTGTCTTCTGCTGTAGGCTGGGTTTTCGGGATTTCTCCTCGGGGCTCGAGGTCCTGTGGTCTTCAGAGCTCTCAAGTCCTTCGAATATTTCTGAAGGTGCTAGAGGTTAAGGCCAAAAGCCAGGAGCAAGTGATATGCATCCAGCCTGACGATGAGACGGAAGTTTCACTTCCCTGCTGGCCAGATTTGCTTTTTTGGGGAGCGGCGGGCTAAGATGACGCTACGCAGGCACTCCCATTCGTCACAAATCGTAAAAATGGCGGCTGAGCTTTTCCTCCCCCTAGTGAATTGCTTCCACTGGTTATCGTCACTTCAATCCCAGAATGGATTACCATGCCACCTAGGATTGGCTTCAGTCATGCAGTTGTGATGGTCCTAAGCTGTTGTCGAAGTTGACGTCTGTTCTTCCCTTTCTCATCTTCTGTCTGAACCCTAATTTTCGAAGCATGACCCAGACTGCAAAAACTCTGTCATAATACCCTAAATCGACAACCTCACGAAATGCGACACACCGACATTGGCTCGTGCTGCCTGGGAAGGTTTGGTGTGGCGAGTTCCCTTCTACAAGCCGCACCTTCGTCTGGTCAGTTCCACATCACACAAGCACACAAGCAATGTTGACTTACAGCAGGCCTCCGTTCTTCAGGTCAACATCTTGAAGAGTTAAGGACGCAGGGTCAGGCTCGTTTACCATTGTCTACCCTGCTGATGGCCACCAGAACTGCGATAGGGTCGCACAAGTGTGTTGTAGAATGCTATTAATTATGAACCTGTCCTCCACATGTACAACACTGGCATCTGCAACATCCACCACTGCCTTCACCAGTTGCTGGAACATATGGATTGGCCACTGGAAGGCGAGGTCTCTCAAAATTCTTTCTCGCTCGCTCGGAGACATCGAAAGGATTTGCTGCGATATGAACCATATGAACTGGACCACCCAGTGGGAATGCTGTACGTCTCGATTCGCAAAGAGCGACTCCAATTGTTCGTAGCATTTCTTGCAGAAATCGACATCACATCCATCCTGACATTGCCAGAACTCTTTGTCCTGGATATGCGCGTCACAATTGTCACATGCACGATTCGTCTCAAAATAAGTCTGGCCCGATATCGTGATTGCTTGAGCAGAATCTGGCATAACCTGCTTTTTCAGCGGATGCGGGTGAGGTACAACACTTGTTCCATGTCGGTCTTTCGGCAGCGCTTCAACGAGTAGCGGCAAAGCGAAAGCCAGCAATGCTTCGATCCAGTGCACATTGCTTTCCAGAACTGCAAAGGCAGCCACGTCCCTACAGAGGTCGTCCAGCCTCCTGCGAGCAGATGCCCTTGCATCCGTAATGGAAGCTGAGGCTTGGCTGCCTTGTCTGTATGTTAGCGGCTCCAGTGCACGATACAAGTCTTCGAGGCTTGCATCGCGCAAGAAGCTCGAGAGCTCTTCAGCAGAGTTCTTCTTAGACAGCTCAGAAGCCAGCTCAGTCGGAGAAGCACTTCTCTGGAAAATACTTTCCATGGCTCTGCAACACCTGCCCAGGTTCATCTGCTTCTGATTGGTGCCAGTGTGGAACAAAGGGCTTTCGTACACACAAGTTCTTGATTGCTGGTACGCCCCAAAAGGACACCCTAGATCCACACCGACCAATATTCCCAAGTACCGGCAAGCCTGACTCATATAAACCCAAGATCATCTGCTTGCTGGAACAACTACGAGTAGCATGGGTAGCGTTACGTCTCAAGGCAGCGGCTCTCGGAAGTCTGAGAGCTGCGGCAGGACGATACGTACAAGCAGAGCAAGCGAGAGCGCCCCCCCTGCAAAGACTTGAGAGGCTGAGGCTTGGCAGAGTGAGCAAGCCCGGGACTCTGCTCATGACCTGTGCAGCTTGGACACTCGAGGAGCCGTCGTTCTGACCTTGAAAAATGTGCCTCGTCCTCACATTCGTCATCGGATGGCTCTGGCCTTGACACACGCGACGCTACTCGCAGTGTCAAGCTGCCAGGCTCCGAGGCGCCCACCCGGCCCTGAAGAGTCTTGGCCCTAGTGGCCCTGGCACCAGCAAGAAATGGCCTCAGTCCGTCAGCGGGAGCTCCTTTTCTAAAGTGTCTGGCAGCTGAGATCTGTTCCTCCGTCACGGTCACATCGATGGACCAGAGCCTCGCGGACTTTTCAACCAGCGTACGACGGCTTCCCACAAAAAGCAAACCTCCAGGAGAGAGTGGCTGGCTTCTCGCAGGACTGTCGGATCGAAAGCCTAAGTCTTCCCAAACTGCACAGACAGACATCGCTGCCTTCATGGGATTTGGATTGACCCTCTTCAAGACGCCGACACTGGAGGACGCATCTTCGTCGACCAGACATCTCTGCTCGTCGACTCTGTAAGCCTGCCGCTGCCGAACTGAGACAAGTTCATACCTCGAGCATGTCTTCTCCATGACATCGCAAGGCCTTCGCAATTTCCTCCAGGTGCGGAATATCTGCTGCAAGCCTTGACTGGCCGGGAAGGCTTCTCGAGCCCTTCCTCCTACAACTTCGCAGGGCTGCATAGGCACTGCAAAACCAGTACATACAAAAGAAAGCGAGCGCGAGCGAGAGAGAGAGAGAGGGAGGGAGAGAGAGAGAGAGGGCACTCTCAGTGCATGTACCCGTTCTGAGCTGCCGAAAAGGAAACGCAACCCAATCCGATGATGCTGATGATGCTGCTGATGCTCTCATCCGGGCGCCCGCCCCCGGGACCCTGGCACGAATCTGCATCCACGGCAGATACCATCTGTATCCACCTTCCAGCCCCAGAAATTGAATCATTCAGTCCCGCTCCGCCAGGCCAGTGAAGACATAAGGCTCAGACAAAGAAGCACAGCAGTGATGGTGAACCATGCAAGCAACACCTTGCAGGTCGACAGCATTGACCTACGGTCCGCGTCAAGACTAACCACTAGTGACTGAAACGACCGAGGCGCGACAACCAAGAGTCTATAAGCGTTCGCGTCTCAAGAGGTGAGTTCAGCGGCACCTCATGACAATTCGATGGACGCTGCTTCCGTTTGCATCATGTCGATTGCTGTCAGGCGCCAACCACCAGCACCACTGTACGGTCCTTTAAGATGTGCGAACTGGCGAACGAAGGTGCATGAGTTTACTGCTTGGCTCCTCCGTCACCCGCCGGTGGTACCTCGGAAGTGATGGTCCGTCGGGCTGCGGCACGATGAGGTTTCCTTCACCAGCTTCTGCAAAGCCGACACTTCACGGCATGGTACTTGCCATGGCCTGCAAACTCCAAACGCTCAATGCTGAAACCTTTGACCTCGGAGCACATGCCGGCATACCTCTGACATTAACCCAGCCCCCTGGAGCTTCTGGCACTCGACTGTCGGTCAAGAAGCAAAAATTGAGAGCTCCTGATAGCACGCAGGCAAAGGCACCCAACACTCAGCATCAAACACATGTGTCCAGGCCTTGAGTCCAGGCTACTGCCTGCTGCGAAAGCTGATGCAAGCTCGTGTCTTCTATTGTCTTCTCACGTGCTGCTTTCTTTCTGACCCTGTCTTCTGTGAACCGGCGCACCTGACCGCCCGCTGACGCGTGCTGTCTTTTGCACACCGTCTTTCTGCGCTTTCACGAGGATGGGCGTGGTTGGGCGTGAGGCGGATGAAGGAATTGGTTGCTAAGCTCTTCACAGCCTGTGCTCAGTGGATCGGGTAGAGGCCGGCCGCAAAGATTCAAGCTTCGCTTGTGTCTTCGTATGCTACCGTGGATCACTTGTGACTTTTTGCTCTGTGTATGCGATGGAATATGAAAATATGGATTCCAAGTAATTAGCGAGTTGGCATGGAACTCCCATTGCGAGGTGCAGCCGGGCTTCGGGTTCGTGGTTTCGCACCCATCCCCAGGCCATCCCAGGGCCTTTCCCTGGGTTTCCTGCATCCTTGCTCGTATGTGTCTCTAGTCTAGTAGTGGAGGTGCACCAATCCTGAAGCCTGGAGCCGCAACGCAAGAAGGTGCCAAGGGCCGGAGTAAACGCAACGGAGAGGGCAAGGAAGGAGGTTGAAATATTGCAGGAGCCCGCGTGGCAGGACAAGCCATACATCCTCAACACTTGGAAAACGAAAGGAAGCGGCAACTCCGACAAATCGAAAATGCCAGACTGTTTGACACTGGCCACACACCCGCAATCATACACACACCCGCCTCCAAGTAGTTCCTAACCGGCCGAACGGCAACTGCGAACGGCTCGACTCCCGCTCATCCTTGTTTGCCCTTGTTTGTGCAGGAGTGCCGGATGCCGATGTCCGCGCGGCACTCAGGGCCCCACTACCTGTGGAGATACACGAGATTAGTTTAAACCCGCAGTCGTTGGTGAGAATGTCCGGCGGGCATGCTGTCAGAATGTGGCAAACTCCTGCTGTTTTCTCTCCTTCCTCTGGTGCCCTCCCTCACTCCCTCCCTCCCTCCCTCTCTCTGTCATCCGGGGTCTTGGCCAGAACTCATGGAGGTGACGGCAACCAACGAGAGGCCCTCGCGGACCTGAGTGCATCTGCGAAATGCATCCCACCACCCCTTCGAAGATCTGAATGCTGGCAGGGCACATGCCACTCACAGCATGGCGTTGCCGGAGCTGATGGGCTGTCGACGTTGACCTTTTGCTGAGCATTGACATGGCGCAAAGCTTTCGAGGGGGTAAGTGAAAGTAGATGAAAGCAGCATACCAGAAGCTGTCAGCCCGTTTCAACAGTCCCGGACTGTACAGATCTGAGAGTAACGCCGGCTCGGCTGTTTGGATGGTGGGGAACACTCGCACCATGTCCCCGTCGACACGAACCTGACAAGAAAGACTCCCCCGGTGGACGCGCACAGGCCGCTATCTCCAGGTGTGCGTCTGGCGCCTGGCAGCGAGAGGCGGCCACCTGCCGCGGGGAGTACCTTTTGAGCAGAAGCGCTCCATGCACGGTGCCGGTGCCGCCCTAGTTCGATTTCATGGCCTTGGCGACGATATGTCGTCGAAGCTTGCAGATGGCTGCCACTCCTTCCGCTTCCAACTTTTCAGGAGTGAAGGAAAAGGCGAAGATGCTGGTCGGCACCTCGTCGTCTGAGATTGGCTTGCCAGCATCAAGGACGACCTGAGAAAGTCATGTGCCAACGACGGGATGCCTCTGCCCATGCGTCTTTGAGGAGCCCGTCTGGTCCGCACTTAGGCTCTTGCCAGGCAGTTCCCAATTCTGTGCAAAGCCAGGGCCTTGAAAGTGGCAATGCGAGGCATCGGAACTAAAACAAAAAAAAACGCTCTTCGCGCGCCTCGCCGGCCTCCTTCAGAGGCAGCTCGAAGAGGCGCTTCAGAGCCTTGCCACTTTTGTAGATGCATCAAGAGGAAGCCGCAGTTTTGAGACACTGGCGCTTGTCTCTCCAACGACGCGTACTGCAGACCTCGCGTGCGAACACTGCGCGAGCTGAGCAGCTGCGAGCTCCGCCGAGCCGGTGCTTGGGATGCGCGCCCATCGCAGGTCTCTGCGCGCTGCCACGGCCTCGTGGATGAACGCAGATTCGCGCACGCATGAGGTCTGCGTTGGCTGTTCGTGATTCTACGAGCGCGGCTCTTCGCCGACGACCCAGTCCAGCAAGTCGCCCGCCCTGTGCACCCAGCTCGGTGTCTCCCTACGACATGTCAAGCTGGGTCTCCTCGGAAAGCGACAGGCATCGAAGAGGACCTGGGCTCCACCGACTCCGCCACAAAACGAGCTGTCGGCAAGGCGCTGGTCTGGCCTTGGCCTCCTCATCATCGTCCACCTAGAAACTTTGTATGAGACACGTACCCGTAGAGCCAAAAGCTGGAGGCCTCTGAGCTAGACCTAGACAAGGCCGGAGACCAGGACCTCCACTCGCGGAGCATCCGGCTTGGCGGCTTGTCACCAGAAGGGCACGTTTTAACTTCCACCTCGTCCTGCGAGTCTGGAACGGACTCGTGTCTCCGGATCCATGAACGTCCATCGGAGTGGGGCTACCACATGCTAACCCTACAGGGCCTCACTGTTGCGTTCTCCTATCTTGGTCTACATTCTGCATACTATCTGGACGGTCGTGCAAGAACCAAAAGGAATCTTCTGAGCACGGCTCTCGAGTGTTCTCGAATTTGGCTAAGAAAGGAGAGGCTGGATGGCTATGAGGCAGACAGGCAAGTAGCAGAGGCAGTCGCTTGCACCGGCACCGGCCCTGTTTGTCCAGCGGCGCTGTCGAGAACATGATTCAGGGGCCAGCTGCCTGACGAGAGCCGCAGGTAAACGGAACGCTCTCGCGACTGCCACTGCAGCCTTGCAGACCTTATTGTGTTGTTGTCGTCCTGCTACCCTGCTGGCCTGCGACCGCACGGCATCGAGCACGGTGCGCTGCTTTGCCTGAGCACAAACATACTCGAGGATCATTGGGGAACACATCCAGCAACGAGTACCAATCAAGCTGTCTTCGAAGCGCGACACATACAGCTGAGGAGTGGGCCAAATGAATGCATTCCAAGTTATGCCGCAGGAAGTTTTCGTTGTCCTGCAGGATTCGTGAAGCCGCCCACATCACTCTCTCCAAAGCAAACGTCACAAGTTCCTCGATCATGGTCCCCACTTGGATGATCTGGGCATCCTGCTGCTCTGAAGCCAGAACATCAACGGCCGTGAATTGCACACTTGAGAGCGAGCGGTACTCTCCGAGAGATATGCACAACTCTGTGACGCCCACACACACATCTGCACTATACTCCCAAACCAAACACATGCCTCACGTCAACAAGCTTCGGAAGATCTAGCGTTCGCGGCTGTTGTAGCACCTCCCTAGCAGCCTGTCCTCTCCAGCCTTCTTGCGCCGATCCAGCCGCGCTTCTGCCTTCGGCAACCAAAGAGTTCTGGGTCAGTTGGGAGATCTGTAGACCACGGTAGCCGCGGCGGCCTGACGAGTGAGATGTCCGGAGAGTTCCGTCTGATCGGCCTTTGCAGCAACCTGTCCAAACACGAACGGAAAAGACTGAGGCCTTTGTGTATTTTCCGACAGACAAAACATACAAAGTGGCATTGGCAGTCTCCTTTCTTCTGTGTTCCTTCGGGTTTCCTCTGAGCTACATGTGGGATTGCAGCTTCTCTGGAGAGTGATGATGCTTGTGCTGGTGATGATTTTGTCGTTTGTCATGGTGAAGATGATGAAGATGATGATGGTGACGATGATGAGGAAGGCGGTGATGCTGCTGATGATGATCATCATGACGATGATGATGATGATGATGATGATGAGGATGACGAGGACGATAACGATGATGACCATAACGATGATGATAATGGTGATGCTATGATGATGATGATGATGATGATGATGGTGATGGTGATAATCATGATGGTGATGATGATGATGATGATGATGATGATCTTGGTGCTGCTGCCACTGCCACTGTCTACGCCACCGCCACTGCCACTGCTAGTGCTGCTGCTGCGGCTATTGCGTTTGCTGCTGCTACTAAAACGACGAGAATCGGATCAATGCTTTTCACACGAGCACAAAGTGGTCGGGCACAAACAAGAGGACAAAGAAGGCCTGAAAATGAAGCCAGATCGCACTGGAGAGCTTGAAATCCACGTAGTGAGAGTTCGGCGACTCCCGTACCTGGGAACCAGCCACCAGCACAATTCCGGAATCAGCTCCATTCCGGTTGAGCGGACTTCATCCATCCCACCTCCAATATGTGGATCGAGTTCCACACGCCCGTCTTTCCGTCGCCTCGGACTGCTTGACACAACTCCAAGGCACTGGGGACGAATACTCTCACGGTACTGGTGACCACTACTTATCCGAGAATGAGGAGCCACGACTCACGCAGAACGATTATTCCACCGTTCAGTTTTTAACTGGACCAACTTTGTTGATTTCTTGCTAGCCGCTAGCCATGCTCTTACTACCGTTACAACGGAAAACATCGTGACGATCCTCAAGACTCCTCGCGGTAGTGCATCACCCTTCTTTCTGAGGGTTGAGTGCTGGCAAGTTGTACCACTGCGCAATGTTCCGACTTTTGGTATCTCTTGGCCCCAGGTCCCAGCGGGCCAGGTCCCAGCGGGCCGGAAGCCCAGCTGGTCCCTGGTGACACCCTCGAGCCACAGCTCGACGAGGGACCTATCAAGACCCAGCCTCCAGCAAACACTGGGTCGTGTTCGCGTGCCCCCACCCAGACGGCCAGCCGTGGTGGTGGGAACACCACGGGCTGCCTCCCTCGTCTGGGGCCCGCCCCTTTCGCACACTGGCGCCGGACCTTCCTCGCGGCCCATACCAAAGCCGGCTCACCTGCATACTTCTTGGTTCGCCGCTCCTTTGCCCGTCCCTGCCCGCCACCTGTGCTCGCTCGCAGGCCCTGCTGTGGCGGCTACCCTTGGTCTCGTGGCAGAGCAGCTGCCAGGGACCCTTCTCAAGGCAACGTCCACGGCCCACGCAATAGCCTGAGCCACCGTGGTGATGCCAGCGAGCCGGGCGTCCGTGGGCAACTCTAAAGCCATGGCTCGACAAACGGATCTTGTCCTTGGCGCCCCCCAGTCCTAGCGGACCGGATGCCCAGCTGGTCCCTGGTGACACCCTCGAGCCACAGCTCGACGAGGGACCTATCAAGACCCAGCCTCCAGCAAACACTGGGTTGTTATTGTTGGCAATTCGTGCAATGCATAACAATCTACGATTACAACTTATGTGGCCTCTGCAACCAGTATACTTCAACGGAGGGTTTGCCTGATCGGAACGTGCCAGATGCGGCTAAGCCGCGTGGACCATCTAAGCTGGAGGCCAAAAGCGCCTATTTTGAGCTTGAGGCCCCAAAAGCATTGGACCGAGCGACAACTCTTTGCGTACTGCCGAGTTTGCTAGACCCGTTGTGGAGCAGTTGCTCCTATTATAGCATACAGTTCCACGGCGGTGTACCGTATGCGAACAGCAAAGCCTACTGAAGTGATTCAGTCCCAGCGAGCGAGTCCATTCCACAAGCGTCACACCCACAAGATCTGATGAGAGAGGCATGTATGGCATGCAGACAAAACAGGACACACGTGCCCATGTAGGTATACGGTAGTAGATTCTATAGTACACATTACTGCATAGTCTAGCATACTACCGAATTCCCACTCTTTGGCGCCTCTTGTGTGCACTCTGAAGGGCGGGGCTTGTTTGAAGGCTGGCTGCTGAGCAGCGGACACAGATACCACAGATATAATACTACTGCATTAGAGATATAGTGCTCTAGTAGGCGTGGCGTAGTATTCTCTCACCCCTTACAAGGGCTGTGCTTGTGATGCAGGGTGCGCCAGGTGTGCATCATGAGCAGCAGATGGCTCAGCCGCGGAGAACAAGAGGCGCAGCTGATGCTCATGATGCTGGCCGCGGGGGGCTAGCATCATCAGAATCAGGTGGTCCGGCCGGGCGTGGCCGCAAAGTTGCGCGAAACGACTGCGACAAGACGTGTGCGGGTGACACCCGTCGGCAGTCGAAGGGGTGCAGCTGACACTCATGACGCCGGCCCCGGTAACGTCGGAAATTGCCATAAAAAATACCGAAACGCGACAACGCGTGTTGAACGATGCAAGCCATGCTTGGGGCCCCCACAACGCGGGACACTCGCAGTGATGCTGAAACGGGGCCCCGATTTTCTGCAAATCCGATGTCTCCCCACCTTGTAGGCTTCGCCCGGCAACTCCAACGTCATCCGGTTTGGTGGTCCGCCATCACGCCGGCTCTGCCCGACAACTCCAAACTCCAGGATGCCCCATCCACATCCCGTCACTCCGCACCGCATTGTTGCTCGCCCCTCAAAGGCTCTGTCAAAGACCATCTCAACCGAAAAAAAATGCATCGGAGCTTCTGGTACGGCATCTGAAGTATCTCAGTACCAGACCAAGGACCTTGGCGAGCTCCTTGTGGACCAAGAAAGCACCGGCGAAGCCCTGCAGCAGAGGCCACTCAAACTTGCGGGCAAAGGCACTGAATTGACAAGAAATACGGACTGCTCAGTCTTGAAGTCTTTGAGGCGTCGATCCTCCTCGTATCTAGCATGTAGCCCTGGAGTTTGCATATCGGTTTGTGTAAATCTATCCTTCTTCAGTATTCCACTCGCTCGACTTCTGCATTCAACAACCCACGAGCATCTCTGTGTGAAAGGCTTCCGGCATCCTACTGAAAACTCAACACCGACTGCCGCTCATTCGTGTCAACCGGCCTCATCGAGGTCCCAGAGGTAGACAGAAGACACGCCACCCTGGAGCAGATGGCCGGCTGGAGTGCGACTGTCTATCTGCCACCCAACCAGCTGCTTCTCGATCTTGCCAACAGGTCCCGGACCTCGTAGTAGCTCATGACATATGCCTCGAACACCTGCCCAGCAAGAGACTGCTCTAAAGCCCAACAAATCCCCAAGAGGGCTTCACCTCATTGAAGCTTTGCTCGAGCCGCTTCAGGCGTGCAGACGGCCGGAAGAGTCTCTCCTTCACTGCGCAAAAGGAGAATGCAGCGGTGGCTGCGGGCCAAAGGCTGTCAAAAGGGACCTCCTCAGCCTCGCCACCAGGAGGCACAGGGATGTACCTGGATAAAGCTCTTCATGGCTGCTAGTGTCTCTGGCGACCGATGCCGCCTGTCGGACCAGGGAGATCGATGCGAGCCTTCACAGCGGCAATCATCCCGCGACACCAAGCCACCGTGTTCTTCTAGAGACGCTTGCCTCCATCAAAGTTGTAGTCGGATGCAACAAAGTACCTGTCATGCCAGAAAAACAACTGCAAAGCCTGTAGCATAGCTCCCTCTTCCCTGCAGGGCATGAGCATGATCCAGCCTGTTTGCTTTCAGATCTTCCTTCACCTTCAATGGTCTGGAGATGTATGGAGCCAGACCAGACTCCTGTCGCAAGCTGCGAAAGGATGCTGGTAACCCCCTCTACGTCTACCGCTCGCTGAATGATGAATGTGATCATCTCTGAAGCACGATCTTTTCCCGTTGCAATGTGGCCGTGATGAGGACCGGCGTGCTCGCCGTCGCCAACCTGTTGCACAGAGCGTGCTCGGGCAAAGGTGAATACCACGAGCAGTATCCGCAACAGGACTTTTATCTCTGCCTTGCTACACATGGCAGATTTTCCGCAGCTTTGGTGCCAGGCACCATGAGACGATTTAGATTCGGGACATTGCTAGTGACCGGCCAAAGAGCAAAGCTTGTGAATGTGATGCTCTCACACGAAGCACTCGGTCACACATGTATGTCGCCCGAATCGCTGCAGCATTTAGCACCACTGCTCGACAGCGATGCATCAACCCTGACAGCGAGCTTGCCCTACGGCCCTACATCCCTCAAGCCCTCAGAGCTGATCGCGCAATCGGCACGAGACGGACTCATCTCTTCTGATGCAGGTGGTTTGGAGATGAATGAAACAAGCTTTTCAACACGAAGGCCTCCGCGAGCAGTGTTTCCTGGGCTGCCAGCATGCGGAAGTGTCACTTATACCGCCACGTACTATCTTCAGCCCTCAGCTGATTGCTTCATGCACTGATGCGTCAAGCTTCCAACCGGGCAGCCCCAGAATTCGAGCATGCGCACATGGCTTCCAAAACAAGTTCAAGCGAAAAAAGAATCCGGCACTATGTGCTGCTCCCGCCCAGAACCATATGTAGAAAGTCTGCTCAAACGCTGCAAGCATCAATCTCCTGGTTTCGCCACTTTCCGGTTGGAAGCTTCTGCATGAACAGCATGAGTTGCTGGAAGTCCATCTGCTTAAGCTGCGGAGACCAGTAGATGAGGAACACTGCACAGACCTTGGCGGGGTTATGCTGTTATGCCCAGCATGAGCCTTAGAGACAGACCTTCGAAAGCCTATGGCACAAGGCATCATGCAACTCCGGGGAGCAGACGTACACGTGGAACGAGGAGAACCCCTCCAGTGGCTCTGCGATGTATGTATCCCAGAGTCGTATGACACATGGGAAGGGGAACTCGCGAAGAAGCAAGCAGTTCATCCACCTGAACGAAAGCTGCAAGAAGTCCAAGCCTTGCGACTCCAGATGCTCGTACAATTTCTGGTCTATTCGATGGACAATCTCCTTTAGTTTCGCAACCATCTGCTGTATTCCTGGCTGGCCTGCGGTGTAGTGGTCTTGAATGTCACTGAGGAACTTGGTGAGACACCAATACGCACCGGCCTCTACGGAGTCCAGCATTTCGTCAGTGGCAGCATCCACATCAATGTCTTCAGGCAAGCAGTCAAGTTTTGATGCCAGCAGAACCACTACAAAAGGTGTCGCAATGTCATTGATCCCCTGCACGTAGCCACTGGCCGGGTGCCGTATGGACCAAATAAAAAGGACCCGCTCTAGGAGCTGATGTATCCGCGGATGACTGAAGATGGGTAAGCCAGGCGATGTCCGCGGGATGTCTACACGAATTTGCCGCAGAATCGCCGCTGAATCCACATCACTCAAACCATCTTGGCCTGACTCGATGGGCGCGTAATGTCTCCTCCGAAGCTCGTCATACTCTTCTCGCTTCTTTTGCAATCCTGGCCCTTGTCTGTCTTTCACTGGGGGCAAATATCCCAGCAAGATCTGCCAGGCCTCCGCCCGAATCTTCGGATCCTCCTCCGGTGCACCGGACCATAGGAGCTCCCGCAAGGCGGCCAAATCGACACTGGGCAGCGAGAGCCTCGGTGAAGTCACTCTAACCTAAAAAAAAAAAAGAGCAAAGAGACACAGAGAGAGTCTGATTGGATGAAGCTGAGCACGGCCAGGTCAGATGAAAAACGGAGGCTCGGCAGAGCAACGAAAAGAGGGAAGCGGCTGGGGAACCGAGCAGGGTTGCCGGAAAACAGCTAAGACGTTGAGGATTTGCACTCCGCAGGTAGCTGCAGGCAAGCGGCAACCGATAGAATTTCTGCGCTTTTGCAGAGCGCCCAGTGTCAGAGGCAGAGGAGGAGGAGACACTCTGCATCGATCAGTGTGGCAGTGCCTTTAGAATCACTGCCGATCCAAACGCCTGTTGTGCTTTGCTGTGTATTGAAGGCTTGTGCAAACGAAGGGTCTGCGCGGTCCACAATCCAGCAGGCTTGACTTTAGAAGTATCTTCTTTGCGAACGCCGCAAAACATTCCTAATGCGATGAGGCTAGCCGAGAAAGCTGCGGGATGGCAGGTGCACAACCTTTCATCGAGCTCGTGGCTGAGACTTTGCCGCACACCGGAGACCCCCCAAGCAATGCAGAAACCAAACACTTCTACATCTTTGCTGGGAGACAAGATCATGTCCAGGAATCATCACATGCTGCAAGCTGCAAGCATCTCCACAGCACGGGACAGCACCGAGCCTTCGCTTCTCGACCCAGGACCATGACACACAAACACTAAGCATGCTAAGCAGCAAAGTCGGCTGTTGCATTCCACGCAGTGTCTGGAGATTTCTAGTCTTGCTAAGCTATGAAGCCTTCTTGGAAAGCAAGAGTTAGAATGGGATCTGTTGGCTGCTTGTGCTTTGGGGTGGGCTGTTCTGGAAAAAGAGACCAAACACACCCGGATGGACTCGTCCCAAGTCACAAGGCAAATTACGAGCTTCTGCCACTATCACATGCTATCACACAGGGACCTTCCCTCGAGCCAGGACGCGCAGGCTGTCAACTCCCATGCAGCGTCTGTCCAGAAGCGGAGAGATGGCCACGAGGGAATCAATATCCGCTTCCAGGTCCTTCGCAGAGCAAAGAAGAGCCATTAGGAGAAAAGCTTTAGTGCGGAATCCTTCGGCGGAAGCCTCTGCAAAAGCCCCAGAGCTGCGGCCGTCAGCCTTTGCTGCTGGCGTTTATCCTTTGCATGCACCGGACATGCGAGAGTTCTCACAAGAGACATTCCAGAGACACGTGAGTCGCGCGAAGCACTCACCGCTAGTCAGAGGACCTCCGACAAGGCGGAAGACACCAAGGCAGTCAGTCCCGCCATGGCTCAGCTGGGCTTGGGGCTCTGCACTGCATCAGGCGTGGATGTGCGGCTGTGAGGGGGTGTGGTGCGTGGGTGTGTGTGAGTGTGTGTGTGTGTGTGTGGGTGTGTGGGTGCGTGTGTGTGGGTGTGGGTGTGTGTGTGTGTGTGTGTGGGTGTGTGTATGTGTGCTTTGTTGGACATTGAGCTGAAACTCGTGGCCTAATGGGCCTAGTGGAAAGGCTCGGTGTCTAGATGTGATGCAGACAGCCGCCAGTTGTCGCTAGATTGGATGCACTCCTGTCGGCAAGCCAACGCAGCACTTTGAAAAGAAAACGATCTGCTGAAATTGCGTCTTCGTTGGAATGTATTCCGTGTCTCTGCTTGAGAGCAACAGCAGTTGCACCGGCCCCGGTGGCAGTGTGCCCCTGCAACGGAACGACAACTCAAGCTGTTGGTGGATAGGTGGATAGCTTTTGGCGCATCATTGCTACGCCACATCTCACCTGCTAAGCATAGCTCACACCTCCACCTACCCCGTATTCCAACCCGCCGCTGCATTTGCTCTCTCGCTGATCTGGCTTAGAAGGCGCGTGCTGCATTGGAGTCGTTGCATTCCGGTGCAAATGCGAAGGAAGGCCCAATGTCGAAGCATGCCAGACGAACATGCACGATGGGCCGCGTGGCAGCGGCTGCGTTGTGCGAAGACAACAACACCCAAAGCCAGGGCAAGCTCTTTCCAAAATCTTTCGTGGGGGGGCCGGGGAGTAGAGGCTAGGCAAGTCAGCAAGTCCGTCAGAACGCCCGAGGCGACTGTTGCGAGAACGGACATCGCCCAGGTTTCGCCCAGGTTTTAGCTTTTGACCAATTATGCCAGAAACTCCAAGTCCTAGAAACACGACGACCTGATTGGAAGCCCATCCGCACCTTTTGAAATCAGGCTTTGCTCTTTACCACACGGCTGCCAACAGGTAAACTGATGCCTTCTCCCTGATGAGTCGCACGCAGGTTCTTTTACCTCGGGATACCGCCATCCTCGAGTCCCTCAGAACCTCAAGGGAGTGTCGAGCGCAGCTTCCTGTCACAAAAGACGCCGAGTCCAACCTGCACAGCCCTCACTACCAAACAAATCCAAACAACACAGGCACGGACCTGAGGTGCGCGGCTGCGTCTGCGGCCAGATTCAGGCCCTGCTTGAGTCCGATCGGATGGCCTGCAGCAAGCAGGTACGAGGCTACGAGCATGCACCCGTCGGCTCGTGTTGCGAGACTCTGCCGGCCACCTGGCTTGGAAGCTTTGCTGAGCAGAGCCAAGGGAGCTTCCTTGCGACATGACAGAACACGGAGGAAAGGCAGAACCTGCAGAACCTGCCTTGTACATGGCATCGAGCTTTTCCTGTGATGACGGGGTCGCGGGCTGCATGGCAATGCCAGCTGCAACCGGCCTTGACTCCATGCTTTTCGGCCCAGTCTTTGCCCTCCATCGCCTATCATACACCGACACCGACTCACGAGACAGCCAGCAGTCAAGGCCACTGTGAGTCCACTGGTTGAAACCGTTATTCTAACCCATTTAGGCCTGAAGGGCTTCGTCCAGCTGCCTGTAGCGCACGCCAAGTTGCTCCAGCGTGCTGTGGTTGCTGCACATAACAGCTGAGATGATGACTTCATCACAGCCACATACTCAGCCACCGTTTTGTCGTGCTGTTTCTGCAGCGGCACAGGCTACGTTCGCTGCACACCCCATTGCGGAGCATGATTTGCACAGACTTGAGGCGGTGCCTTCAAGCGAGCCTTCTCGTTGATGGACCCAAGCCGCGACTGGCAGACAGGTCAAGATTCGAATTCCTGAGCTGAACTCTTCAGCGGGTTCCAGCTCACCCACATCTGCTGCAACCACAAACCTCTTTGCAAGCTGATGCAAGCAACTTGCAAGCATGCAGCGCGAACAGTTTGCACACATGTTTTTTCAGCGCTACTTGGTCCGGCTCAGGCGCAAGAACCAAGCCCAATTCATAGCCTCGAAGGAATGCGGGTGCACGAGTTGACAACAAACTCCGTGTAGTGCCATGCAGTCCGTGAGTCACCAGCATAGGCTGCAGCAGCTCCCGATAGCTGCAGCATCAACCTGCATCATGTGGCCATGGAAACCAAAAGCAAGAAAGCTACGGGTGCCAAGTCTTCCGAAAACAGGCCAGGGCTACATTTTGTCGGACACATGGCGTCTGGAGGCGACTAGAAGAGACCTTGCCACTCGAGTAAGACTCGTACAGTGCTTAGGATCTTCGCAACAAGGATAAAAGTTCAGCTCTGCACATGCAGAAGGCACCATTAAGTATCCGTGACAGTCCGAAGACCCAAAGGGTACAAGCTCGCAGGACCTTGATCACCTGAGACATGGCAGTCTAGCATAGTCTAGCAGCCAGTTTACATGCATGCTTTTTCGTTGACACTGAGCCCAAGACACCTTCCACTTTGGCTCGTCGGGCAAGTGCCAAGAGTCTCAAGGGAACAGATGAAGCCTGTTCAATTGGGACCCTTGCATGACGGCTGGCAGGTGCGGCTGCACGGACGAGCACCGTTTGCAAACCCCCTGAACATGAATTCCCGAAGAAGCTAAATGGAATTTCTCGGATTTACCAAAGCCGCATCTCCAGCTCTGTCATGCCTTCTCCGGCAGTCTTGACTTTCGGGCTGAACGTCAAAAGAATAAATACAAAAGCCTCCTGAAACGATGAAACGAATACAGTGCTGAATCTGCCGACGAAGAGAATGGGCCTTGGCTTGCCCAGAAAAAAACCAGGATCGCAGTTTTCAGTGTGTGAAGATGGAGAGGAGCAGATGAACAAGCTGACTGTGCAGCTGCATCTACATTCAAACTTCAGAAGCTGGAGAACCGCAAGCCTGGCTCTATGAAGGGCGCTATGCCATCGCTTGGAAGATGAGCGAGTGCTTGAGGATGAAAGCTCTTCTGAAAAGAAATGAGCGCAGGCCGTCCTCGGCCATGTAAGCAAAGGCCAACGTGCAGCGGCGCGCTTCGAGACCTGGCCTCGGGAGCTGCCGGACGACACCTTCTCTAAAAAAGGCCATTACACATGGCACTGAGAAGCTGAAGAGGGCCGTGCCCTTTCACCAAGCAGCTCCAATTCGCCAACGTTTGCAAGGCGTGATGCCCTAGCCTCACAGTGTTTGGTCGAACCCTTGCATGCATGAACCTGTCTTGGGTGCCTTTCACGCCACATATGTGGACGATGTCCCCAGAAGCGGCAGCCAAAGATCTCATTGCAAAGCCAAGCGACTGAGTTATGCGCGATTCATAGACAAAAACTTGCAGCGCAAGGCACATACAGGGCATCTGCCCAGAAGTATCCAAGGGAACGGGCAAACCTGCTACATGAGGCCACACGCGGTCGCCACACCCCGCATGCCCAAAAATCACGGCGCTCGGAACGGGGCATGGCAGTGGCACTCGCATAGGCGCGAGGTGAAAGCACCAGCACCTTCAGGGCAATCACGCGAACGCCACCAAACCAACAGAACTTTGGCAGTGAACATCTCGGATGTCATACCACTCGAGATGCGCACCTCGGACTCTTCGTCATCGCACCGTTTGCGTCGCTGCTTCGACCTGAAATGCGGAGAAGTCCGCAGGAACGCAGGAAGCACTGTCTTCTTTCCATTGCCCCACGGTCCAACCCATTACACTGGGGAAGGGGAAGTGCGGGTGAACAAGAAAAGACAGCATGTGCCGCAGCATGGCTGGAAGATCAGCTCTTGCCAATCCTCCGTCCCCAGCTCAATTTGCGTGCCCTGTCCGGCTCCTGCCCAGAGAATGTTTGTATCCGGAGCAGAATCCCACAATTGGCTCAACACCATCGGTCCCCCGATCTGCCTCGGTCAATGCTTGTGATTGTCCGTGTGTGGCTGCATGTGCGGGAAAGGCCTAAGTTTGCCCCTGTTCCTATGTCCACCAGTCTGCCTGCGAAAAAATGCGAGCGGCGACCTTGACCACCCGAACTAAGCCTGTCCAACTTTCACGATCTGACACTGGCATTTGCAGCCTTTTGAAACCCATCTAAGTCCTGGTCTATGTGGACCTACGTTCGAGGTCTTTTCGATGCATGAAGGCATGACAACGAGCCAAAGCACAGAATCATGTCCCAGCACTCCGCGAACCCTGTCGAGCCACCATGAGCTTGCAAGAGATTGCAAAAGCTGCTGGCCATCCTGCCAACTGGCTCACTCTGACCTCTTCCCTGAGCCCAGTATGATTGCCAGCTGTCAGAGCACCTCTTGGAGGAGAGAGGCCACAGCTGCTCTGAAAGCTTGGGTTCCGTGCGCGCCACTCGCGGCAGACGCTGAGACCTCAGAGTTTAACAGCAGCAGTACGGAAGCAAAAGGTGACTCGGTGGCCAACAGAAGCTGCTGGTGTTGAGGCTTCGGCACAGCATGTGTAGAGAGAATGACAGAGATCGACTATGTCCTGCAAGGTGTCGAGAGAAGCCACTCGCAGAAGTGTGGTCTGCCAAGAACACCAAAGGCCTCTGCAGAGTCCGCGTCCTTGAAGGACCTGACCGTTGCCTCCCGTTCCACACATGTTGAACGGTCGGGTGACTATGTGGTGCGAGGATGCGGTGTGGTGACATTCCATCGCTGAGGTCCCGTCAAAGAGCAGAGCCGCCACTGCTCCACCGGCTGCTGCTTGCACAAGAGTAGAATCTTGTGCCTGAACGGACAAGGCAGATCTCCAGCGGTGCCTTTTGCCACTCTCCTTTCGTCGGAACTTACACTGTCCGCGAAGCTTTGCAAGGGAACCAGCGAAGTGACACCGATTCAGGCCCGCTGATTCATGTCTCCATAAGGATTAACAACAACTGTGCTTCACGTGTGTCTCAAGTCGGGATGCGGCGCTGCCTCATTGTCCGTGCTCGACGTCATGGCAGAGGGCCATGGGAGGCTACTTCCACACTCTCATGCACTTCAGGCTTCTAGCTCAAGTAGACCTTACACTCAGCATTCTTGCTGTATCTGCACACTCAAGGTTGGCGAGTGTTGGGAAAACGGCTTCGAACTGGTCGGCAGGGACCGAGCATGCAACGATGGAAGTCTGCCTCGAAGGAAACAATAGGCCCAAGATGTACGTCGAACATCTAGACTCTAGACCAGCCACTGCACAGCACGTGCCTCTTCAGTCAAAGCGTCGCGGATAATTGCCGTCATGGCATTTTTGGACTGGCCAACACGGCGTGGCTCTGGGTCTGGGGTTTAGGGCCTTAGGGGTCTAAGACAGCTTGAATGTGCCACTAATGTGCCTCTTTGTAGGTAGCTGTTTCCTCCGAGTAGTAGCGGAGGTAGTCATCGACAACCGACTAAGTCCAACTGCGTATGGCGCACTTCCTGGCAGCTGCATCGAGGGCCGAACGTAGAGATGGGCGACGACCTCGCCCTGAGCAGGCTCCGACGACCTGGTCGAAGAGAGGAGGAGGCTGTGCCCAAGGCCGAAAGGTCCCAAGATGTCCCAAGGATCCAGGCTGCGCTTCGTTTCTGAAAATCGTCCGCAGCGCTGCACCTTCACGGCAGGCAGAACCGAGAAACTGGTGATTGAGCATCGCAATCTGCCTTCAGTGCCGCTAGGCCAACTGGCGAAGAGCAGGAGCGGCAGCAGCATGGCACCTCCAAGCCCACAATCCCCAGGCTGGCTTTCAACCATCACCCGCTGAAATAGCCAGCAGCCCGGCCTGCGCCCGGACCCGGGTGCCCGTGCACCCTCTCCAGTCCAGGCAGCTGCGAGGCATGCAAGGCACGTAAAGCACACAAGGTCAAGGCAAAGGTTGTGCATGTTTTGGTCGGCTACACATCTTCTCCAACGCTATTTTCCTCCCGCGTCTTCCAACCTCCAAGATCCACCTTGTCCCGAAATGGAATGATTGAGAGACCCTAATCATGGGGCTGTCACAACAAACGGCGCAAACCGGAACTTCCTATCTGGTCCTGCCGAACGTCAGAAAGGAAGCGGAAAGCAGTGCGGCTCATTCCTGTGCCGGCACTTTCACATCGAAACCCATGCGCTACCTTGCCTCTTTCCCATGTCGGCATCTCGCTTCCAAGCCGAGCTTTCAACAAAAAGTGAACGCCATGCCAGTCTTCAAGCTTAAGGCAAAGCCAGTTAAACCGGTCATTGCTAGTCTCTCACTCCCCACGCTTGTGTGCTGCCATTGCTGGTGTTGTCGTCGTTAGTTGCCTGCTGCAGAGAAAGAGAGAGAGAGAGAGAGAGAGAGAGAGAGAGCGAGAGCGAGCGAGAGCGGGCGGGAGAGAGAGAAAGAGGGGGAAACCCCAGCCAGAGCTCGGGCTCCGAGCCTACACTCAGTGAAGCCCTCATAATCGAGATGCCCTTATAGTCGAGATAATTGTCTTTCTATCTGTCGGGGGAGTCAACTGAATGTAAAACTGCATGTGTCCTGGAGAATATACAGTCACCTAGTTCCATTATCGAATACTTTATGGCATGAGCTTCAAGGTGACTTTTCTTCGTCTTTCACTCCCCGTCGCCCAACTAAATGTCTTGGGGTGGGCAATATGCCCGGGGGACTTGACCGTCCCCTATACCCGGGACAGAGAGAGAGAGAGAGAGAGAGAGAGAGAGAGAGAAAGAGAGAGAGAGAGACAGGGAAAGATTACAGCCTCCTACATTCATACGTGTTTCGACTATTGCACTCTACGAGAAGGTTCCGGGACCTTGTAGTACTGTCAGTAGTAGTACGGGACGTCTCGGTATGGGTCTGAATGTGTCAGCATTTGGCTCTCGTGCTGATCGTAGCCGTCGTAGCAAACCCTATTTCCTCCCTGTTTGATCCGTTGTGGGGGCCTCGTTTGTTTGGATGTAAGTAGGGAAGCAGCCGCAAACCAAACTCAGAAGGTCATGTCGGACGTTGCCGAGCAGAACCAGTGCAAGCACGTCCTGGCTTCAGTGGGGTTGGGGTGGGGACGGGGCGAGGGGGGAGGGGGTGATGATGAGAGCACAGTCTCTGTTGACTAAGTTCGCGAACTGCCAAAACATGGCGTCTACGCGCTCGAAGACTATGCTGTGCTGGCGGTGCGTCGGGGCCTCAGTTTTTGTTTTGTTACATTCACAACAACAAACAACAACACAGCGGAGGGCATGGAACAGCGGGACATCAACAAAAGGCGCAGGGCGCAGGACGCAGGACAAGAAGGAGGCTGGGAGAGGGAGAGGGAGAGGGAGAGCGAGAGCGAGATAAAGAGCTAGATAGAGAGAGGCAGCGAGAGCTTTTCTTCTTTTCCGTGTCAGGCCCGTGAGTTTGCCAAGACGGTTGGGGACTCAGCTCGTGCATCTTGAGCGTCGTTTTGCTTGTTGGCGCATGGGAGGCTGACCACTTCATCAACTTCGTGACCGTGGGCGGGGAGGGGGAAAGGAAGGGGGGGGGGGG